ATGATGTAGCACGTCGTTCCAATATATATATATTGGTGAAAGTGATGACAATGAAAACAAAAGTCAAGTTGACGTATTTTTGGAACATAATTTATTAAACACGAATATTTCGTCCACTCCTGTGGACTTCATCAGCGTGAGTCCACATAATCATTGATTTGTTTTAATCTACAAAATTTGACCATCACCGAATTTAGACGTTCTAACAGTTGTTCAGTTGTAGCGTCAGGTCCACAGTCGTTTATTTCTGGATCTTCCCACATAGCTGCACCTTCGCCTTTACACGTTCGGGTAGCAAGAGGCATAAGATCTAATTGTACAAACATAGACGTTATTTATTTATTTATATAATTAGATCGATACCTTACTATTTAACAATACAATTTTAATATTGAAAAAAGCTCAAATAAGTTCATGTAACAGATATACTGGTAAACAGGCAATACAATAAATCTAAATCAATATGAACATTGATTACATTTAGGTGGCTGCTATTTAATGCTGTATTATTAAAGGGACAAAAGGTGTCTCCTTAATTGAGATTTCAATATAAATAAAGGTACGGTACCCTTAGGGAAAACTAACCAAAGACCTGAAATTGTCCTCTTAATTTTCGACACACAGTTAATACAAGTTAAAATCGAGTCTTCCTAATTCTAGTTTAACTGATCTATGAGAATACTTTTGCATTTAATTGTAGTTCGCTTTTAAATTTCAGGCATTTTTTCATCAGCACTGGCACCTTAACTTCCAGAAAAGCATTTGAATCCTTTTGATGCTTGCCGCAATCGACATATTGACCGAGCCAACTGCCTGCTCTAGCACATTGTGTTAGTTTGTAATATTTGAAATGTCTTTGCCCACCTCTCTTTAAAATATAATTGGTGATTGCTGTTTCTGGTCCTTAATTCTCTCACATTTTGGAAAAAGTATTGGTTGACTTGCAAGTATAGCGAAAGTATATTATTAGTGAACAAGTCCGTTATTACGATGTGTGTTTGCATCAGGAAAATATCATAAGAGTGATGTTTTGCCCACGTCAGGTAGGGAAAAACGTTACTCCTAAAATTCATTATTATTAGTAGTATATTTAATAAGACAATTTATAAAAATACATATTTGTTTATGCTTACAATTTGTTTTACTCTCACCACACAAGTCTTCGGAATCTACCGTCTCTCCAATTTTGGCATCAGGAAATGTGAGGTCGTCATAAACTTCTTTGTAACACATTTCTATTTTAAAATACATAACAGAATAGGTTGCGGAGGCCATTTGTCTTTAAGCAAAGAAATTATCTGCGTGTGTGCCTCTCCATACGGAAGCATGATGTATATAATAATTATTCATTTACTCATAAACAATAATGAAAATTTTTTTATGAGTAAATGTACATAGAATCTGTAAGTTAGTATATTTATATTATTTTATAATAAAATTAAATTCTATAATTGTGTGCCATTGTATTTTAGGCAAACTTATTAACTTTAGGTTATAAAGCCATTTTTTAAAGCTAAATAATAAAGTTTATAATCTTTGCAAAATAATCAATGTAACATTTGTGTAGCAAACATTATTTAAACAGCTAAAACTGAATTATTTTGATCTGTCTCAATGAAAGCTTGTTTTATTTATAAAGCACATTAGTGCATTTTTAATAATGAACACACATTTTAATAAAAGTGTACAGACACTTCAGTATTCTCTGTGTCTTTTGACCTGAACTTACAAATATTAAAGGACAGCTCTTTCAACGATGGATTATTTAAATTTACCTCAAAGTTCAGGTCAATGTTAAAGAGAAACAGAATATTGAAGTGCCTGAGTTAAAATTGAACAAGAGGTAAAATAAAGGGGGAAAAATCGTTTTCATATTAATTAATAGGCATACATATTTCCAATGGCAAAATATCTAAACACCATTGAAAACAGAAACACACATTTGTACAATGTTTCGTACAATAATACTAATTATAGCCAATAATTAAAATTAATCGACACAATTAAAATACAATATATTCAAATTTAATTCAATTCAAAGTAGCATTTATTTGATTACTATTCCAGTTTAAATATAAAAAATAAAATACAGAATCATAACAAATCGGGGGAAAGGAAAAAGGCACAGGCCCAGGATAGCTAACATCGTCTGATGAAGCATGACGCGACTTATTGTCACGTCGGGTCTGTGAGTTAAACATAAAATATAAAATATGATGGTTTTGGTGTCAGGGGCAGTCGCATCACAGAATATTAAACATGTTTAATATTTCTCACGACGGCTTAAAGATGTCCTTGACAATTAATAGTGTCAGTCAGTGCTGTACGACGCTGTCTGAGACAGCCTTGTGCCTTTCATCACACTTACTTTTGTCACAGTGAACTCCACTCCAACCAGGATTACATGTACAAATATATCCATAAACACCAACGGCACACATGCCATTATTACACGGGGAACTGGCACATTCCCCAATATCTAAAAGCAACAATTTAAGTATTAAAACCACCAATTATAACAGAATGTAATTAAATTATAATATAATAAAAGATTATGTCACTATACTCATCATATTACATTAATCATCACCTGAAGTGTTTTTAAATATTCTACCGATGACATCATCATAGGCTATGACATTACCAATGACATCATCAGCCATAAAACATGTTGAAAATTTTTCATTAGGACAGTAGGTCTATTTTCATTTCATTTCTTTAGGCACGAGCGCCAAGGATACCAATCAGCGAACCTAATCACTATATTAGGATAGCTGAAAGCAGTAAGCAAAGTTGTTTAACATAAAAAACGTTCATTGTTAATGCATTTGATCCTGATTTTATGCATGCCATTCAACGTTTATTCAGCTAAAATTATTTGCAGTTAAAACAATCAGAGGCAAACTTACAAGCTTCACAATTTGTTCCTGTATACCCTGATTGGCAAACACAGGTGTATGCATAATCATCATCATCAATACAAATGCCATCATTGTGACATGGATCTGGGTTACAGTCATCCAGATCTGCAAATGAAAATTACTTAATTTTAATATTAGCCTACTTTATGACTTGATTGGTTTTCTATGTTATGAAACACACCAAGAATAAACCAATCCGAAAACATAATTTTTGGTAGTTGTCATGGTTTGGTCACACAAGGTGGCTACCATTTTGCAGACTAGGCTGGACTACCCACCCAACCCAATAACCCATCCCTTGGTTTCTAACCATTTGATATGAATTAAAGCATTAAAATTATTTATCGCACAAGAACATAAATACGAAGACTTTAATGCATACAGATAACAAACACTACAACAAACTATTATTTTTTTTAATTTATTTTCCTTTTTTTAAGTATTTATATTTGTGTGAGGATGCTTGTATATAAAAATTGGTTTGGAATGTTTGTATTTTTTGTGCTTTTTGCATTTTATATATTATTTAATTAATTATTGCAATTTCTATTTTTTTTTTGCCAATTTTAATGTTTCTCAGTAATTTTTATAAATTTAATTTTTTAATTTAAGATATATTTTTCCACATTTTATATTTTTATATTTCAAATTTTATCGTCAACAAACACTTTCAGCAATTGGTTGCTTTGTTGAATTTTTTGTATACCAAAATAAATAAATTAACAAATTTTTAGGGGTCTAAATAATGCTATAAAAGCAGTAATGTTTGAAAAAGGTCTGCAGCAAAACATTTCGGCTGTGAGTCTTGGTGGGTCTGCAAAGCATTAGTTGGGTTTGAGGACTTGTTCGAGGTAGGTGAAGTGTCACCAGAAAAGGAGGAGACTGGCTACAGGGGGAGGGGTTTGCCTGAACCATAGAAGAGTGTCCTGTGTAACACACCCTCTTTAATCAATGTCAACATCTTGCAAAGTAAAACTTACTTATCTCGCACACATGTTGAAGTGGTTCTTATAAATGGAGTATACTGGCACAACAACTGCACAGAATATAACAGCAGTTGCGTTGTTGCAATGGGACGGCCGAGTGGTTTCTTAACTAAAGCCCTCAAACAGAGGAGTGTCATATCTCTATAGAAGGGGTGTCTTCTCAAGCCCTCTAATATTCAAAACCCTAGTGTATTTGGTGTCTTCTAAAAGCCTATAATGAGGAGTGTTTTATATCTCTCCGGATTTCTCTGAAAAAAATCGGTAGGATATTTAGTCATCTATTGGATAATGAATGAGATGTTAGCTGGGAAAGCTTAAGAAATACTTCTGGCTTGTATGATCTCCGATACTCCGGAGAAAATTGTAAATATATCTACGAATATCAATTGTTCATTTTTAAATGCAGAGTTTCTCCAGCTTTTAGGCGGTTTATCGTAACCCCCACCCCTACGCTACGGGTCTTAGTAGAAAGTAAAAATAATAACAAAGCATGAATTGTACGATGAGGGTTGTATGTGTATTATATACTACATGTGAATTGAAGATTGTAAAAAGGCAGGGTAATAATTTGCCACTCGTTAGATGAAACAATATGCTAGTCAAACCCTCAAAGAAAGCTGTAGACGACAACGCAAACAGAAACCATACTAAGATGTAAAAAATATGTGTCAGCAAACAGAATGTGTTTAACAACACTAAAGTACTATAATTACGCTGTTGACAACCTATATAATCAAACAATATTCATATTCATATTCATGAAAATTCAAAATTTATTAATACTGTAATTATAAGTATACTAATTAGTATAACCGATATGTTGGTCAGTAGTAATCTTAACAGCCATCCAAAGTGGCGTACCTAGAGGGTGCTCGCGTCCGCCAGTCACCTCTCCCTCTCTAATACGTTTGAAGCAAAAAAATCACACTCAAGTAGTTAAAAATCACATTATTTTTCCGAGTTAGTGCAAGCTCAATTATTTTCAATTTTTTTATGACAACACAGCCTTGTGGAATAACACCTTCTTGGTGAGACAAGTTTCCATGTAAAAATAAAGTTTTAATAATAATAATTGTTGGATACAAACAAATTTAAATAATAATATCAGTGACAAGTTCTTCAGTATACAAGATGTCGACTTTATATTAGATGTGCAAGATAAAATAATATTTAAGGTTTAAAAACGATTACTTTTATCTTTGAGGTAATGTTGTATTATGATTGAATGCTATAAGACATAGGAGGACAAAGATTTTCCCCCAGCCAATATGGTCCAACATTAAGTTTGTTGAGGCCTACCTTAAATAATATTTAAGGTCTAAAAACGATTACTTTTATCTTTGAGGTAATGTTGTATTATGATTGAATGCTATAAGACATAGGTGGACAAAGATTTTCCCCCAGCTAATATGGTCCAACATTAAGTTTGTTGAGGCCTACAAAAAACCTATGTGTGCGACCCACACTAACCTCTTTGGCTAGAAAAAACACCTTTGTTTTTAACGGCCTAAAACCAATCATCTGTACAAAAGTATAGTCAAACTTAACATAAAGAGGCATAAAAGTTGTGAATGAAGGTTTTCTTTTAAGTCAAAGTTGGTGCGGTTATCAGTATTAACTCAAAAAAGTTACACTCTTGACTCATTTTTATGCTAATCTCTGCTATAAAAGGGTTGTTTTTTTTTTTACCATATTCGCAATATGTTCCACTGTATCCTGAAAAGCACTGGCAGAAGAAGCCGTTGACGCCATCTATACAGGAACCAAACTGACATGGGTTACTTGAGCATTCATTCACATCTAGGAACAAACACCATCACAATATCAAATATCTTAATTAATGGCAGTAATTAATATGAAGCTTAGTACATTAGTACTCAGTTAGCTACACACGAGTTAGCTACTGTGTGCGCGCTGAACTGTGGAAAATGTTTACAAAACCATAGCCCCTGATTTACTTTTATCTACGGCACTTCTTGCATTTCAGCCTTTCTTCAATTCTATTCAATTCAATTCCTTTTATTCAGTCTGTTATACTGTATATAAATATAACAGAAATGTGCCTTGAATCTAAGCGATCGAAAATAAATAGTTCAAAAACTGTTTAAATCAGACTGGAAAGTTTAAAATGTTCGAAACACAACAGTAAAAAAAATTTAAAAAATTAAAAAACAAACATAAAAATGATATAATATTAAAACATTAAAATCCTTCTAAGTTTCAATAGCACATCGTCTTTTGGATAAAACATTAAATCTGTTGGTCTCATGTGCAACATGGCCCATTTGTTTGTCAATGTACACGGTACCCTCTTCTGTAGAAAACTGAACGAAACAGAAGTTGTCTTCTGGTGTACTGCCCAACTTATCACCAGAATGACCACCACTGGACATATATAATAACATATAAATTGTATTTAAATATATAAATACATTTATATATTTATAAACTTGGCTGTTCCGAGCACCTCTTTACTACACCGCACCAACGAATTTTGCGTCCCTTTAACCACACCAGTTCAATTTCTCAAATAATCAGATCACTTCTGTTTCGTTCAGCTTAACTCTGTTTTGCCCAGATCAACTCTGCTTTACCAGATCAACTTCTGTTTAACCAGATCACAGCACCACCAAGTGATTTTATTACGATCACTTTCAGCATCAGATGACGTTCCAATGAAAATATATTTCTTTTACCGCTGCCACCATATAACGTCGTAGTCGTCACCATAATTCAAATTTCCCTCATATATTATACACAACAATCTTAGATATGCGAACCAATCACAAACAGTCTTATATTCACATGATCTCATGAACCAATCATAATATCAATAATTTACTTACAGTGGCATGCATAGCCAATCACAAGCAAGCTAGTCTAATCTCCCCAAATAAATCAATTGTATAGTAACATTAACATTGCACTTCCTTAAGTGACACACCCAAAATTATAGTTAATTGTAATCAACTTTGTAGAATAAATTCTACAAATAATGTCAGTAGTAGCTTAATATACACACATATATATATAGATAGAATGCAGTACTCCATTACAACTGGGTATATTTCACACCTAAGAAATCCATTTTCTTTGCCCATGACATGCACATACTGTAAATCTATACATTTTTTCTAAAACTTATTATCATTTCTAGCGAGAATATCCTAAAAGTGCATATACCATTTAAAAATTTATCAACTAATTAAAAGGAAATAAATATAGCAAATAGATTTAATTTATTAATTTCAAAATAATATTATTAGTTTGGTGTTGCTTGTCATACATAAAATGATATTTGATGATTCGCAGTGGTATAGTTTAGTTTAAAATTATGCATAATTGTTACCAGCGTGGAAGGTTCTCTGAAACAATCAATACTCAATACATTAGATGAATTCAAATCTATGCATTTTAAATAAATTCTATTGTTTTACTAACTTGATTTACACACGACCCCAGCGTAACCAGGCTGACAAATACAGTCAAACCGGTTAACATCATCATTACAGTTAGCATTATTCAGGCATGGGTTACTTGAGCATTCATTAATATCTGTAAGAAAAAAATAACAGTGCATGGATCCAATGTTGAAAGTCCACTTCAGAAAGATTTGAAAGAATTTGATTAGCTTTTCTTTTTACACATTTTACTGTACTTTGATCCAGGTAGAGAAACCTATGGACCCCAGCATTTTTTTTTTTTTTTTTTTCCGGCTTGAAACCAATCATTTTCTGCTCATAGTAGAGCAGCTAAGGGCCAATAATGGCCAAGTTGTGCACTTTATTACCAAAGCATATACAAAATTCAAATATGGAATTCAAATGAAAAAACAGAAATCAGCCTTAATAATATTATAATAATGTACAAACTGATTTGACAGTTGATTCCTGTAGATCCATGTGGACATATACAGGTGTAACAGTTCAGTACGCTTGTTCTAAAATGGCAAGTCTTAACTATACGTTAACCTTTTATCACACTTACTAATTTCGCAGTGAGTTCCACTCCAACCGGGACTACACGCACAAAAATAGCGATCATCACCATCACTACACACGCCATTGACGCACGGGGAGCTGGCACATTCATCAACATCTGAAAGCAGCAAATTCAATTATTAAAAGCACCACATATAAAAGAATGTAATTGAATGATAGCATAATAAATGACCATATCACTTTACTCATCATATCACCTAAAATGCAATAAATATTCTACCAATGACATCACCAATGACATCATCAGATTATAAAATTAATATTTTGAAAACAATTTTTCATTAAGACTTATGCTCCCAACATTTTACTGGTACAGTAGACCTATTTTATTGAATTAAATATGTTAGCATAGTTGAAAGCAGTAAGTAAATGTGTTTAACATAAAAAAGATCATTGTTAATGCATTTAATCCTGATTTTATGCAGGCCATAAAAATATTTGCAGTTAATAATCAGTGGCAAACTTACTTATTTCACAATTTGTTCCCGTATATCTTGATTGGCAAACACAGGTGTATGCAAAATCACCATCAATACACAAGCCACCATTTTGACATGGATCTGAGTTACAATCATCCAGATCTATAAATGAAATTAAAACATACTTTTATTACTAAAAATGTAATTTATTATTATTCAATTCATAATAATATTTTTCCAATATGAGATGGTAGCCCACAAAGAAAGATCATCCCTTAAGAATATTAGGGGCCTACTCTATGTAAAGCCGACCGCTCACAGCGTCCGGCGGTCGTGGATCGACGAAATTCTATGAAGAACGCAACACTACAATACATATGCTAAGAAATTATGCTAAATACAACCCGTTCAGGCTGCCACACATAATCAGCAGACAGTGTCGAGTCACCTAGCCTTAATGTGATTTGTTAGTGCCCGGCTTACCACACCCTCTTTAATCAATGGCAAATCTTTGTGAAGTAAAACTTAATAATAATAATAATAATAATAATAATAATAATAATAATAATAATAATAATAATAATAACTGTAAAAATTATTCTAACATGTAGCTTCTCTCACTTACGAATAATCAAAGACAACAAGATGCACATCTCGGGACTTCAAAGGTTAACTCTGGCATTGACATTCTAGGTGTCGCGCCTTTACACACTGATAGTCACAAAAGTGACAGTTTAATGTTGTATAAGAACATGATTTTTTTTTTATAAAAATCGTAAATTTTCAATTGCTATAACTCTGTATTTTGTTGGTCAATTTTCACGAATCAAATTGTAATTTGTAGAAGCACTTAACAAGCTTGTTGTCAAAAGAAATCAGATTTAACAGACATTGTGAAGTACCCAAAATTAATAAAATAGTAACCAACACGATAAAACGTATGGCAAGCGTAGACTAATTATAGCCGGCTGCACTCGCAACTAGAATTGGATTGTCAATGTCACCGTTAAGATCAAAGGACTACAAGCACGAGCTATGTTCACAAGCAGAGATGTGTGTCCTGTTGTTAAATTGCCTTGTCTGTACCAATTTGTTGTGTGAAGATAACAACTTTAATCTATTCTAGATTTAGATATGAATATTATTTTACTCAGGAAAACATATAGATTTTAAAAAATTGTGTTAGAAAATAAATCAATAGGCCTATACATTTTATGTATTAAAAACAGTACCAGCACAACACGAAAACATGTACAAATCACACAAACCAAAAGTAATAGAACACCCCTTGAAAAATAATGGAAGAGTTTTTTTTTATCTACCATGTTCATAAAACAAAAATATAAGACGTTTAAGTGTTATGTTAATTACAAAGCTATCTTAGAAATAGAATGAATAACATACTGAATAACAAGATAATTTAAAAATGCAGTCAAGACTTTTTAAACGCAATAAATTCAACAAATAAAAGGAAGCCAAAAAAAATTACAGCAAATAAAGAAAAGGTGTCCCCCCCCCCCAAAAAAAGGGGCTATTTGACAATATCACAGAGCAGAAGAAATGGCAGTGCAGATCCCTAAATTGAAACTACAAAAAAGCAAATTTTAAAAAGAGGATTAAGTATTTTCTTCAAATAAGCACAAGTTAAATAAAATCTTAAAGATTATATTTAAAATGTGTAAGAGTTGTGATATTTGAGGTGATAGTTCCATTGACAATTATATGAGTACTTAAAAGTTCACCACTTTGACAAGGATTAGTAGAGTATTCGTCCGTATCTGAATTCAAATTTAAAGTGCCAGCAAAAGGAATGAGTTTAACACCACTAAAGTATTCAATTATTCTATTAATCACTTATAAAAATAAAAAAATTTCATATTCACGAAAAATTCAAAATTTATTTAATAATTATAAATATATTAGTATTACCGACAGCATGATGGTTAGTTTTATCGATAATAATGTTGGGCAGTAGTCATCCTAACAGGCATCCAAAGTGGCATACATAGAGGATGCTGACATCCCCATGTCACGCTCAAATAGTTAAAAATCATCTCATATCACGTTTTTTTCCGCGCTAGTGCCCCCTCAAAAAACATTGAGTTCCTTTCAATTTACCTTCACGCCCCATCAGCCCCCACTTCCTTTGAAGAGTCGTAGATATGCCACAGGACATCCATTCTGAGTTGGGACAGTTGATTCTGTATGGTGCAATACGATCTCACTATTGCAAAATGCGGACTAATTTCTTCTAATGTATCTTTGGGAAATTCAGACTGATTTCTTCAATGTATCTTTGGGAGAATCTTAATTAAATTTGTTTATTTGTGTTACCGGTATTGAGAGCTTATTTTCTTGGTGGCCGTATAACTATAAGATTTAACATAATATTTAACATAGCATAGGCCTAAAAGTACAAACTAATAACATAAGTGATATAATAAGCATTTTTAGGCAATTAAAGACCAGAATTTACTTACCAACTAAAAATGTGATGTTAAATCCTCGCTTGACAACATTAAAATCTGAGTAAAAGTAGACCCACATGCGACTGCCCAAAATCTCCAATGGGTCTGCTGGAATTTGTAACGTCTCTGAAAAAACATATTGGGCTGATGCTCCTGTGGTGTCCAAGACAGAGCCGCTTCCGATCTCCAAAACATCTTTGGCCTCTTCAATATCCATGTCGTTAATGATTACTCGGAATTTCTTTCCATTGGGATAACCCACAAGATGCCCACATGAACGGAAATTATCATAATTGTCGGGATAATTTGGTGACGTTATGTGACCTACAGGAACACCATAAAAGTTCTGACCACAATTTACATCTGTAACAGAATAAACATATTCCAGCATCATGTATTGTTTAATCATTGTGATGAAATATTAAATAATCATATCTACAAAAAAATAATTACCTACTTGCCTCTTCCTTGAATAAAGATTGATAATGAGGTCCTTATATGAATTATAAATTTACAGGAAATAAATTAATTATGGATTCAATAAATTATTTATAATTTTTTTTTTCTTTTAGTTCATCCAGTCGTCAATTTATGTAAAGTAAATGTTATTACCCACGGAAGTCAAATGTGAATCAATGACAACTCAAAATATTACCTAGCAAAAACTAGATATGAGTATTAACATCGGATTTGTCATGCTTTATTGGTTTTTGCTTTAATTTGGAAATGCGCATTATGTAGATTGTGACTGGGCTATAGAAGAAATTCATCAAAAAAGTACTTTAGTGTGATTTTTGTTGTGTAGTTAGGTTACACAAAAAGTCGATAGAATTAATTTCCATAACAAAACGCTAACAAGAAACGCGTTTTTCTCAATATTTAAAAACTATAATTTGGCTTATAATGCATTCTTCCGGTATAGTTAGGCCAGTTTTTTGGCACTGAAGTTGTCATAGTAATTGTCATATCTTATATAATTACTTTAATTGTATATATAACATTTTTAAATATTTTAAGTATTGCAAAATGAAGACTTTCTAATTTACTTGTTTATATATTAACACGAAATAAAGATTGAATTGAATTGAAATAGAACCTAGACAAAAGGCCATATACTTACTTAATGCTAGGTTGCAGTGTGTGCCATGGTAGCCTAGAACACAGAAACAAAATACACTGCCTGTTTCTTCTGTTATGCAAGTACCACCATTCTGGCAAGGGTTCGCAGTCAAACAGGCTCCTAAAAAAAGATTATATACAATGTTACACGTGTTCCTTCTTCTAATTGTACATAATTATTATTATGTGAAGCTATAATTTTTTACATATAATATGTAAAATTCATAATTAATACCATTTTTGACTTATTGCTAAATAAAAAATGTAAATGTAGACATATATCTAATATTTGTACATAGTTCAGGTTGTGGATACGGACTAATATTATTATGAGTTTTGAGAATGTACGAAACTCCAAATACAGTATTACTTATATTTTCATTTTTATACTCGATGATAAATTTTGCATATGTACCGAAATTCACCGAAGAATAAACCAACTTCCACTGGCGAACACCATAATTAAGATCGTAAACAACTTGTCGGTTGTCTATCAGATTTATCCTTTTTACGTTTCTGGATTGTTTCGGGAGTTTATTTCCACTGACGAACACCATAAATACTAGACCATAAACGAATGTATGTTTAACTATTTGTCAAATTCCCAATTTTCACGTTACATCAATAATCATAGTATAATATAATATTAATAATCATTTAACCACATATATATATATATATATATATGTATATGTATATATATACTATATATATATATATATATATATATATATATATATATATCCATACAGTTTGTTTGGGGGTCTACCAATAGATCATAATTTCGCACCAAGACACCTCCCACATACACAGTTTATTGCAAATACTTCCGACTTACACACAAAAGTACATTATCATTGGTTTAGAAGTATGGAGGCATAAATTGGCCAACCAGGCTAATTGTATGCCTGCCTTGAGTCAGCAATTTTCTCTTTGTGCAAAGTAATTCAAATCAAAATTTATTTATTTCCACAATTTCATCATAAGAATAAATAAAGAACGCAAGAGCTTTTAAATGGGCACCCTTTAAATTATATAGATGCTCAATCATTTGTAAAACTGTGTTGGTTATCCTTTCGTTCATGTTTTAGAAACTTATTTTTACATTTTCAATGTTTTCTTTTTAAACGTTTTTGCTTTGTAAAATATTTTGTCATGTTTTTTTTTTTTTTTTGGACCATGAAATTAAAACAAACACACAAACAAAAATGCTATCCTGTCGATTGACTGAATGTTCATTTTAATTCTTATTATTTTTTATTTAATTTACTATTTAATTTCTTAATTCTAGGCTTATAATAAATAATAATTTTTGACTTAGGGGTCTCTCATGTTTCGTGTCTTCTGTTTCTAACACCATATTAACAATACCAACTGTGCCTGTAGGTTTTTCTCAAAATTGAGCGCCACTGCAGTCCATAGAGATGCAGATATCAAATAAATGAGAAAGAAATAATAAAATTTAATGGACTACTGTATGTAATTGTCAATAGACAATAGTTAGAGGCAAATCCATTGATCAAAATCACAACATGTCATATACAGTAGATCTAAACAATACCTTTAACACTGCTTCCTGGTAAAACCAAAAGAAACAAATATTGTGTACAAATAAGTAAAAGGATATATATATATATATATATATATATATATATATATATTAATTCACAGTGCAGGGGAAGGCAATCACAAACCAATCAGCATTTCTAAAGAATTTCAGACATTTAAAGAAACTTCAGCAGCATTGGAGAAGGCAGCAAATGACTGCACAAACAAATTACAAGATGGCCTTAAAGTTGTTATTCAGAATGCTACAAAATTAAAACAAAATACAGATACAAGTTTGAGAGATATTGACAACCATGTGCAAGAAATGTGCATGATAATGAAGAAGAAAGGAGACCAAATGAAAAATGAAGTAAAGACAATCTACGAAAAGAAAAACAAGGTGTTAGATGTACAAAAGGATGAACTAAAAACAACAATATCTGATATAAATACAAAACTGTCTTTTCTTAATCAGTTAATGAAGAGTGATGAAGCTACAGCAATGCAAACAGGTAAAAAAGTAATTATAGCACTGAAGGACAGAATTAATGAATTGCCAAAAACAGAGCCAAATGATAATGGATACATTAAGTTCTTAATAAATAAACAACAACTTGCTGCATTCCAACAATTTGATATTGGAAATGTTACACAAGTTATGGCAGCAGATTGTCTAGCACTAAAGGGAGAGGAATCTGTGATCCAAGGTCAGAAAATTGTTGCCAAAATAATCAAAACAAAAGAATATGAAATACATGCAAACCAAATGAAGGCAACATGGACAGAGCCTACAGGAGAAACCAATATCACACAAGTTCAACAAGATGACAAAAGAGATTATTTTGTGAAAGTCGAATGCACAAGTCCAGGAGTATGTAAACTAGATGTGAGTGCTGATGGCGAACCAATCAAGCAGTCACCATTGATGATCAAAGTAGAGAAGGAAGGATTAGTAAATACAATTGAAATACACAAATATGTTACAGATGTAGTTAAGTGTGAAGATGACTCCTTACTGGTTTCATGTGCAACAAATGATATGCTCAAGTACAAGCAATCAGGAGAATATATTGGTAAGGTTACACTACCACAAGGTGTGAAGGTTAACAGAATGTACAAAATGAAGAATGGTAACATAGCATTTAGTGATTGCTCTACTAATACACCTGTCAGAATATGCAATATGAATGGTCAGGTGATTAAAAAAATTGGTGAAGGAGTATTGGGTACACCATCGTGTATCCATGTGGATGAGACATCTAATGTTTTGTATGCAGATTGTTGGTCCAGTAGCTGTGTGTACATATTTGACATGAATAATGGCAAGACCATCAAAACAATAGGGTCTACAGGCAAAAAAGAAGGTCAAATAAGTGATGTCATTGATGTTACTCTTACTAACCAAGGACACCTTCTTGTATTGGAGTATGGCAACAATAGATTACAATTATTTGATAATGAGGGAAGGTTTATAAAAGTCCTTGTTGAAGCAGGTGATGAGAATGGTAATGTGAGCTATCCAGAGGCAGTAGTAGTTGATGAGGATGACAACATCATTATATCAAGTCAACATAAACTACAGCTATTCAGCAGTGATGGAACTTTCATAAAAAGAATTGATAAACCAGAAGATGGAATCCACAATCCAAAGGGATTATCCATCATTTCATATCATCCAAGGAGACTTGCAGTAGCAAATGCTGGTGACAATACAGTAAAAATATTCAATTATTAAATATTGACAGTCCACTTGCTTTACTTGTGTGTTTTCAACAATTCATATTTATAAGAGTAGGAATATCTACATAAATATTATTTCATATCATCCTCATAGAGTTAAGTTATGGATCTTAGACTTAAAATAATTATTAAATACAATAATATTGAAATATAAAGTTGGCATAATGAATGATTATAAACCTGTTAAAATATTTGATTATTGAATATCATATCCATATAGAGCTGAAGTTATGTTTTTTTTTTAAACTGTTAAAATATCAATTATTCAACACAATGATATGTGTTGAAGTTATTAAACTGTTAAAATATATAACTGAAAACAATACTACAGTAATCTGCCAATCTCTGTTTACAGTGTAATTCTCATCCAATTTTAAGCACACACTATTGATCTAATGATTATATTTTTTGTAGTGCTTGTCAAATTTGAAGTTTGTATTCATATAATGCATATACATGTTATTTTCTTGCATACTCATGTTAAACATTTTACTTTTTAGTTCACTGGGGCCTTTTTGTATAGCCTATCCACTTGTATTATGATTTTCATAAATTTTGATATTTGCTAGTTTGTTTATTCTTTTTTTAGTACATGTATATTTCCTTTTAGTATATTATAAATACACCTTTTGGTGTACATTATAAATACACCTACGGACATTCGTATCCATTTAATTAATAAGATGCATTGAGTCAGATTGATTATTCTTGTATATATTTCAGGTTTCTTATAAACTCTAATCTGCCTAAATAATCTGATTCGAAGTGGTGGGACAAAGAAATATTTAAAGGGGTATAAGCATTTTATCATTTCATCATCATAAAAAGGAACATAGCAGGGGCGGATTTAGGGTGGGGCGGCCCGGTCCCCCCTTTTGGGAGGTTAAAAAAAAGAGAAAAAAAAAAAGAGAGAGAAAAAGAAAAAAATGATAGCCCAGAATGCCTCAAATGTTATGTTCGGGCGTCTAGAACACAAAAATTTCGCGGGGGCATGCCCGGACCCCCTACGACAGTGTTGTCTCAATCGGCCCAACTTTCGCCCCCCCCTTTTTGGACATTTCTGGATCCGCCCCCGCATAGTGTATATATGATTTAGTAGTTAAGCTTAGCTTTAATTTGCATTCATCATAAATGTAATCTGTATACAACCAATAAATTTATATATATTCATGTGTACATTAACAATAAATTATCTGAATCTGATATGTACAGTACAATAGTTATTACTATATATCATTCAGTAAGTTTAGCTTTTGTTTACATGGATTTGTAAATATTAACTTGCTTTAAACTTATTCAATTTTATATTTTTTCATTGTATACTTTTACAATAAATCATCTAAATTTGTATAGATGTCTGTACAGAATAATAATTGCTATTCAAATCATGTAAGACAAGACAGAAATATTGGAGTACTTTAACTTTTACAGAGATGATATTAGAGTGCTTTAAATTTTACAGATTAAGTGCTTTAAATATTTCACATAGATTAATATCATTATGATTTACTAAAGTGAAACAGTAATACCTCAACCCTAAACATATTTATATGTTTTAAAATCTTCATACATTTGTTGATATTTATGGGGTGTACGGTAAGAATGGCCCGGAAAAAATGGCCCAGGAAAAAATGGCCCCAAATGACAGGTAGGTAAAAATGGCCATCAATAATAAAATTCTGTAGTAAAACTGATTAAAAAAAAATAATTCAATGCATTCCTTTATCTGAAATAATTTAGTTTTTAAAAGGAATCTAACATCAAATAAATTGCCATTTATGTTTTACTTTTGGCAGGAATTACATACTCAAATATAAAATATTTGAATTGATAAAAAAAGCCATGAATAACACTTCTTATTTTTTTCCATTTAAATGTTAAAAAGAGCAACTACATACTCATTAAATCAACATAAATCAGGCACTTATTAATGGTGCTTGAATTGGAAAAAGGAGAGCTTAAAAAAAAGGTTTGGATTTGCTATAGTATCAAAATTAAAAACAAAATTACATGTATTTCTAGGGGTCCTTCTCGTGGTTGAATTAAGAAATAGCGCTTGGGGGCAAAAATCATCAATAAAAAAACCCATCGACTTATATCAATAGTTCCTGTTAAGAAGGAGTATGCCAATCCACAAACTATAGAGGAAGTTAGGACAAGGTTAGATAAGATAACACACTAATGACAGAACACATCTTAAAACCTCTGACATCATCAAACTGGTAACTCAAGTACTGGACAGCACTTATTTCAGTTTCCACAACTTGATCTACAGGCAAAAAAAAGGTATTGCAATGGGGAGTCCTGTTAATCTGATTATCGCCAACTTCTTTATGGAAGGGTTGAAAAAACAAGTGATAGTGATAAAAACAACAGAAAACATAATAAAACTAACCTTCTGGCGAAGATATGTGGACAACATTCTTGCCATTATCCCAGTATATTCAGCAATTGCTGTAAACAGTCATCTAGATGAAACTGACCCCTCGGGAGATATAAAATTTACAATGGAACTCATGGAAAATAAACAAATAGCATTCTTGGACACCATCATCACTCTCCAAATTGATAGGTCCTTGACAACAATGGTCTACCAGAAACCACACACACAAATAGATACCTTGATTTTCAACTCTAACACTTGCTCAAACACACTCAGTGTAATAAACACACTTATTGACAAATGTGAAACTATTGTAACAATGGCGGAAGATAAACAAGAAATAGAAAAAAATCAAAGAAGTTCGAGTTTACAGATTTGTAACTATGCTAGTTGTACAATAAATAAAGTGTGCAATGACAGAAAGAAACCAAAAACCAATTCCAACAATAATTAAAGAGTTAATGTTGAATGTTGGCATACCCTACATTTGTAGGATGTCAGAACGCATAACACCATTAAACAAGAACAATATTAATACTACTACTTCAAACCAACTAACAAAATTAATCAAAATCTGGTACATCCAAAAGATAAAATTTGCAAAGAAACCTGTGGATTTACATGCATAAAATGCCCAAAAGTATACATTGAAGAAACCGGGAGAGCCTTCAAAAGCAGATTGTAAAAAATAATACGCACATACCATGTTCCTAATTGGGATGCAAAATTCTTTGTCCAAAAAAGTTCATGATTTGAGAGACAGGTACATGAATCTCTCGAAATCAGAAGAAAGGGGCACCAAACAACAAATAGAGATGATTTTGTTTGAGGTTGACCTTCCAGTTTTGTGAAATTGTATTTTAAACTTCAATCAATCATGAAACTGTTATTGTTCTATTGCTGAGTAGTCCAAGAACAACTAGCATTTCATATCGAGAAAGATGACGGAGTTTGAGGATTAATTTAGTGAAATCGATTGTGAATTTTTTCACCAAAATTAGAATGTAATTTCTAGGTCAACCATTTTGTGTAGTCAATACATTCCTTGCGGAAGTTTTACTTCTTAGTCTAGCTCACATTTACCTGTTATTTAAATCATCACTATCAATCCAAAACTATCACTGGCCTTTAATTCCTACAAATACACTTATTTACATGGCCGCATAAGTTAGCTTAACATTCTGCATCTGAAATTTGTGCCAGAAAATAATAAAATTAACTGATGGCAAACATTTGCAGAAATCAGCATATTTTTTAATGCACTCACAGATTAGAAGGTAAAAATTTGCTACAAAATCATACTTCAATTATATTAACATGTAATCGATCACATAAGCATTTTGGCAGTATGAGCTCCAGTATAAAGTATAACTTTATTATTTTTAGGAAAAACTCCGAATGCCTTGCAATTATGTAAAAAATTAAAATCCAATTCGGCTTTGTTCAAACAAAGAGTAATCTTTTCATATTTCCTTAATAAAGAAACTGGTAATCTTCTTGAACTGAAATCCTTGATAATAGAACCAAATGGACGTAAGTTGACAAAAAATACAACGCATTTTAAAAATAACACTAAAGATTTAATGGCAGACATGTTTCGGGTTACCTTCAACCCATCATCAGTTAACAAAAAACAAAACAGAAATGAACCAAATACTTTTCATGTAGACTATATGTATATAGGTAATTATCATGCTGAATATTAAATAGATGGATTGATTTGTTTGACAATAAGTTTGACCAACTATAGTAACTATGAAATCTGGACTAAATGTAGCTAATTATTATTCTGAATATATAATTGAATACCGTGATTTGTTTAACCAAAGGTTAGTAAAGCAATAGTAAGTCTATAATATGGACCAAGTGTAGCTAATTATTATG